TGTGCACCGCTTATAAGTCTTGTTTTCGAGTTAAGTAATTGTCATGTACTTTCTTATTTTTTGTTTAAGGTTCATCAAGAGCGACAGCAGACCATTCCCAAGCCAGTGGGTTTCCGAGGGTCTTGCAAGGTCAAGAGTTATCGACCTTTAGAGGCGGTTTTGCAGAAATTAATGAGACAGACTTGTCTGAGAAACCAATGATATGGCAAACATCAGTGAATGATGAAAAGAATGATATTCATTCTGCATCAAAGAGATATCTTCCAGATAAATGGCTACCTTTAGGGAGGCCTGAGTCATCTCTCACAGATTTGTTATCAGGTTTTGGCTCCTCCCATGGGTTCTGTTTACCCTCTGCGGACCAAGCTGCGTTTGGTGCTAGATTGGTGAAGCAACAAACACAAGATCAGGAAAAGGATTTTAGCTTATTGGGAAAGCCATGGTCTCTTCTGTCTTCCGGTCTCTCTCTTAATCTGATGGATTCTGGTTCAAAAGCTCCTGGCATAGGGGGTGATACTCCCTATCAAATGCGGGGAGATGCTAGGTATAGTGGTTATGGTGAGTTTTCAGTACTCCCCGGTCATAGGGTTGCAAATCAGCAGGGAAGCTGGATTATGCCTCAACCAGTGTCGCCTTACATGCAGCTCTCCTCTCATTCAAGAGAAATGATGCATAAACCCTCTGTAGTAAAGCAACCCGAGGCTGTGAAACCCAAAGAGGGTAACTACAAACTATTTGGCATTCCTCTTACAAGTAATGTTTGCACAGATGCTGTTATGATGCGGAAAAGTTCATTGATTGATCCAGCAAGTGACATGAATATTGGTATACACCCTCATCAATCCCTTGCCACTGATTCTGATCAAAGGTCTGAGCAATCAAAGGGATCAAAGGTGGATGATGGAGTTGCAGCTAATGATCATGACAAACAATTTCATACCTTTCATCTTGCTGCTAGAGATAAGGATGGCAAAGGGCATAGTAGTTCTACAAGGAGCTGCACAAAGGTTTAAATCTGATTTGTCACAACTTTAGCTATTGGCTTTAATGAAATTTCTAATGATTTATTTTTGCCTACAGGTTCATAAACAGGGTACAGCACTCGGAAGGTCCGTAGATCTTGCAAAGTTCAACAATTATGACGAATTGATTGCTGAACTGGATCAACTTTTTGATTTTAATGGTGAACTCAAGGCTCGGAGTAAGAGTTGGCTGGTTGTATACACTGATGATGAGGGTGACATGATGCTTGTTGGAGATGATCCATGGCAGTGAGTACTTAATATCATTCCTTTTATATATCAAAGTGATTATTTTCTTTCCTCCTGCGCTGCTTACTTAATATTGGCTTGCACTGGTTTGAAACAGGGAATTTTGTGGTATGGTTCGCAAGATTTTCATCTATACAAAAGAGGAGGTGCAGCGTATGAATCCAGGGACCCTTAATTCAAAAGGTGAGGACACTTCTTCTGTTGCTGAGGGCTCAGACGCTAAAGAAGTGAAGAATCTGCAACTTCCTTCTGAATCTGGTCAAGCAGAATCTTAGGTTTTCCTCCAAAATTGAGGTACTTGGAAAAGATTTACTTGAAGAGAGCAATCTTTTTGCTTCAGTTTTTTAAAACCATTTTCCCTGTAAATGCCTCCAGGTGTTTTTCTGAGTTACTTAATTACTGTTGTTTTGTATTTGACAGGTTTATAAGATAGCGAGGAGATGGCTTTTATCCACCTAGGTGTTACTTTTTTGGGGATTTTTGAATATAACCTACAATATCAACTCCCTTTGACGTGTGGATGGGGATGGTCTCTTCATATAAATGCAGCTTCAGTATTTGCAGTTTTGAGCCTTTATTTGGAGCCAATATCTGGCCCCTTATCTATCTATATACATAGTATATGTAAATTATCAGCGTTGGTCATTAACGTTGCTTCTGCCAATCTCACTTTTGTACATACCAATTTCTCTAGCTGTAGCTGTAATTAAGATTTCGATTCTACTATGTATGTACCTGCCTTACTGTTGATTTTTGTGGAAGTGGTATCCAACTACTTTGGGCAGATAACATATTTTGTATCAGCAATTATGGTAATGTGATAGAAAAGAAGGTTTTTCTGAGTGAAGAGCTTTTTCTGTCGTGCAATTTTGGTCATTGGCCTATCTATTTATTCTTGTTGCCCAATATCCTTATCCATTGTCTTCTACACAACCATATTGCTGCTTGCGTTTGGAAAGTTGGGCAAATCATGTAGTTGTATTAATGTTTGATATTTGAATTATAGGATAGAGAGGAGCAAGACATTGTAAATTCTTCTTCACGCATGCTTTATGCAGCAAGCCAAGGTTTTTTTTTCGTCTTAGATGAATAGTTTTGTCTAAAGACAGGTCTTTTTTTTCGTTTTAGATGAATAGTTAACTCATTCAAGTTCTAACCTATCTTAAGAGAATCGACAGTTGAACACAATTTAATCCGTTTTAAGACTCTCTTTACGTTGATGTAATGTATATTGATATGAATTATTATCTATTTTTATTATATCTTGTAGGATTTTTCACCCCAAAAAATTGCAAAATTGGACGTGTTTTCATGCCCCAAAAAAAGGGATTTTTGTGCCTAGGATTGTCATTTTTCTTTCCTTATTCTTATTAGATAGTTTTTTGGCAAGAATTTTGGTAGTATTTTTACATTCTTTTTAGTTAGATTTTAGTATTTAATAATTGCCATAAAAGTAGATTGATTTTCATGTTATTTGGTATAGATTTCCCACAGATATAGCGGTGAATTTGATTTTTTTTTTTACAAGAACAATATTATTATAAATTTAATAGGTTGTCTTCTTTACGCCACTTTTGAGGGGTGAGATTATTTCCTAACATCAAAATTTTTAATTAAAAAGGTAATGAAGTACTAATTATTGACTATTTTTAAAAAAATAACAGGGTCCAGATTACCTTTTAATCTAAGTTCAGGAATTGATTTTATGGAAAATGGTCATATGGTAGAGGGACAAATATGACATTTTCCGTTGATTTTATTAGTATCATGATTAATTTTAAAATACTAAATGCTTAATTTTGAACTTTGAGAATTTTACTATCTTTTATCTTTGTATTTTCATTTCCCCATTATTTTGTTATTTTTCCAAGTAAGTTGATTCTTATCAGTGTTGCTAAGTATTTGTCTAACACAATTATCGTTGCAAATATTATTGTATTTATCGGGTTTTAATTAGGTAAAAGTTTAATTCAATAAAAAGCAGTTATATACTGTAAATAAAGAAAGATAAAGCTGGACAAGGAACTTGTTGAAAGGAATTTCATAGCATTCAGTTTTGGAGCTTCATAAGCTCAATGTTTCTCCTAAAGAAAACACCAATATAACTGACTAAAAAAGAAAAAGGACAAAACCCGGTTCGGACCACCATGGTCTGTAACCATCTAATAACATGAAAACACAAGTAAACTAATAAAGTCTTGAGGTCTAAAAGCTATAGCACCCTGAGGTCCAAAATCTTCGATAGAGCCTCTCCTTCGTATACTAGATCGAGCAGCTTATATCGTCCCCCCTTGAAAGCCAGCAGTCTCCATCAACACAGCTTTGATCTGATCTGGATGCATCTCTTGACCTTCGTTCGATTGCTGCAATTAAATACAAGTCAGAATTAATACTACTACATTTTTAATCCTACTGTCCGAGATGGAAAGGTACCTCAGCTCGGAACACATCCAACACAAACCCATTGAAGCAGCTGATAACAGCTTGTTGAATGTCCAGTCCAAGACTGTCCAGAGCCTTCATTGTTGAGAGTAAAACCCCTGGTTTGCGGCTGCAGATCATATGAATGTTCACCGCTTTTCCTTCCCTGACCCTCACTTCAATCTACATGAATAAAAAGAACAATAATGCATCATCGAAAACCAATAACATAACGAATGAGATGCCAAGATTACCCTAGCAGGTTGTCCAGTAGGGCTGGACAGGGGGCTTGGAACAAGTTCCTCCTTTATACGACTTGGCAGAGCTGATGCAGTCGGTGTCAGAGGATGGAAGCTGGTTGCGGGACTCAATGAAGAGTTGTTAGCTGGTGTGGACTCCAACTCATTATGCAGCTCATTGATGTCATGCAGAAGCTCCTTCAAGTACTTAATTGCATCTCCTAAGATTGAAGCCCTGTCCATCTGCCAACATACAATCAGATTCACCGCGCATAACCAAGAGGGAAAGAGTGATTACTTCTCCCAGCAATTAAAACTTAAGTTCATACAACAAGCCAGTGAAATAGATAACATTTGTTTACTGTAGGGGGAGGTACCTTTCAAGAATAGTTCTATTCTCTATGTGGTCCAAAAATTTTAAAATCATTTCATACAGTCCCATGTGAGTAAATTAAATGCTACACTATCAGTTTGTACTATGCAAAACTCAATCTAAATGGAAGCTAAACGCTAAAACATGTTGAATTCATAATCGAAGTTCACGGGAACTTTGAGTTAAAAGAATTTCATTACCTTGGTTATCTTTGGGACAACCGATCGCAGCATGTAAAGCCTGTCATTCAGCTTCTTTCTGCGGCGTCGCTCCGCCATCAGGTTCTTAGCTGGAGGTCCCTTCTTTTTTCCCTTTTGATCAGCGCCACTGACAGTGCTGGCTGCATTAGAGCTGTCCCCAATCTTGATCCCATCTTCCATTTTGTTAGAGATATCCATGAACTCATCCGAGTCGTAATTCAATGTTCCATCCATGCTAACATCTTCAAACTCATCATTCATGCTGGACTTCCTTTTTTTATCAGTCAGATTACTGGAAGATTGACCGATTTCTGTACCTAAATTTTCACCATTACTAACCAAGTTCTTTGCAATCCTTTTCTGGAAAAGAGTTGGCTGTGCTCCAATGGAAGCAAAATTGTCTAAAGGTTTATGAGTTCTAGACCGATTGAGAAACAAAGTGTTCCCATTAGCAGAATTGTTAGCCCCAAATCCCATCGAACTGTACCCACCAGCTACCTGAGGTAGCTGGAGCAGATTGGGAGAAGAAAACTGAGTATAAGAACTCAGGTTGTTCGTCCCCATTTGGTTTGGTGAACCCAGATGATGATACCCAGTATTCATCATCCCGTTCCCAGCTTGATTCAACATACCCAAATTGAAGCTGTTATCCATTGGGTTGTTGGATAACCCAGTGAGTGAAGAAGGAATAGTAGATTTTTGGGGCATGAAGAAGTTCACCTGAGAAGGGTCAATGTTGTTGAAAACGTTACCAGAAACAGGCGAGCAGGAAGCTGAAGAATCAACAGGTTGCAGAAGCAAACTGTTTTCAGCTTCAGTGAAACTTGTAGAGTAAGAAATGTGGCTCTGCATGTTGCTACCACCACCACCACCACCACCATTGTTGTTGTTGTTGTTGATGTGATGATTGTTACTATCACCACCACCCATAAACCAATCCACACCTCCATCATCAACCATACCTTGGAAATTAGTAAAACCACCATTGTTCAGCTGATGATTTTCATTGGGAAAACCACCATTGTTCTGTTGATGATTTTCATTGTTCTGATTAACCCAAGAACCAGTTCCTCCATCCTCCTTACCATCAATCCAACCCATATCATTCACTCCAGTTATCATTTTTTCTGAAGAAAAAAAAACAAGTTAAACAGAAAGAATAATCAAAAGGGTGTTACTAAAAACCAACAAAAACAAAACCAGAAAAGTGGTTTCAAAAGAAGCAGAAAAACAGGGGAAAGAAGAAATGCAAATACCTTTTTTTTCCCTTTATATGAGAGAGAAGACAACTTAACACAGAGAGAGAAAACTCAACTCTGCTATCACTATTATTACTACTAAACTTTCTGCTTCTGCAAATACACAATTAAGCCTCAATTTATAGCAATATTTGCCAACTGATCATGGGAAGTAATGATTAGTTTTTTTGGATGGATTCTTCATTTTCAGATGAAAAGAGATAAAAATGGCAAATTTCTAGGCTTTATTTTGTAATTAAGCAAAACAAAATCATCATTAAAGTTGACACAAGTTTGGCTTCTTCTACTCATTTTGGTTTTAAGCCAAACAAATCAATCTACCTACTTATTTTATTTTGTTTTTACGCGGTGTCTGGTATATCTTCCGTGACTATTTATTTTTTCTTTTTTTAAAAAATGGGAGATTACACGAGATATTTATTAATTTTTGTATTTGAAATTCGTGTATTCATACGAGGTGTATTATTCATATTTTAATTAAAATTTACGTGTTCATACGAGGTGTTCCGTTGATATTTGTATTAAAAGAACTTTAACTTTAAGTTCATGAATTTATACCTAGTGTAATGTATTCCTTAACAAAAATGAATTCATATTTTAGATCTTTTGATCTATAGTTAAAAATGAACATTTTTTATTATTATTTTATTAGTATATTCAATAGTGATATTTGTATCGAAATCACTTTAATTTGAAATTTATGTATATATATGAGGTGTTTTCTTTATATTTCTATTATAATTTTAAGTTTACGAGTTCATACATAGTGTAATATATTACTTAATAAAAATGAAGTCATATTTTAGACTTGAGAATCTATAGTTAACCATTAAAAAACATATTTATTAATTTATTTATATATTTGATATCTTGATTAACCCGAATTTATATTATGCATTTTAATTTATATTAATCAAAAAACTATATGTCTCTTTCTTTTTCTTCCTTATTTATCTATTTATGAATAAAATGTTGTATTCTATTTTTTTTTTAAACTTGATTGATTTAACTCATGAGTACTGTCAATACTTCGTCAAATATTTATTAGTTTTCATTAATATAAATATCGAATAAGTATATTTACCAAACTTGATCAGACAAAAAGAAGAACAAAATTATCTATTGATATTATTACTAAGTAGATAGGATTGTAACTTACAAATAATTTTAATAAACTTTTATAAAATATTTTTTAATTTTATATTTTATAAGAATTTATAATTTCTACGTATAAATAAATATCTAAAGAATAGCACATAAAGAAAACTTTGCTAGTTATTTTTAAAAAAGTAAATAAATTATAAAGGATTATGCTCACCTTTTCTTGTAAATTGATACAATAGTAAATGGGGATGGGCTCACATATGTTAATGGATAAAATTTGTTTGCTCATAAATTCACTCTTTTAAGAATAGTACTTTTTATTTTATTTAAATAGCCATAAAATCATTTCAAAAAATAACTTATAACCTATTCATTTTTTTACTTTTTATTGAATTTTAATTAAATTAAAAATTTATACTAAACATATCAATTTATATCTGAAAATTTGAAATACATCTTAACAAATATGATTTGTTTTTATATCTCAAATCTAAGTCATCTAAATAAAATTAAAATATTATTCATCGCTATACCATTAATCATTTCTTAATTCATCTTCCCAAACTTGTTTTTTCCTTCAAAACCTTTTCATTTTTATTTATTTATTTATATTTATGAACAAAATAATATTTTCTCGATTTTTGTAACTTCTTTGATTTAACTTGTATGTACTTCGAATACTTCGTTAAAAATTTACAAATTCGTACCAATACATTTATTAAATAATTGAATCTACCAAACTTGATCAGACAAAAAAGAATTACAAAAATATCTATTAACATTATCACTAGCATGTAGGATTATGTCAAACATATAATTTTATTATTTTTTATGAATTTATTTTTATAATTTTTACGTATAAAATATTTAAAGTAACACTTAAAATGCTTTGCAATTTTTTATTTTTTAAAAAAAAGTTATATTATGAAAGGCTACGATCACCTAGCTGTTGTGACAAAGTATGAAATTGTTGATTGTTAAATTTTTAATTTTAAAAAGTGAAATTCAGAAATTAAAATTGATTTTCACCCATTTTAATAAGAAAAAATAATCGTTTTTTGAGCATTTATTATATGTCTGCGCTATTATAGCAGTCTCTTACATTTAAATTCAAACTTTTAGAATATTAACTCTGAAAATTGTTGTGCATATCTTAGTAATGTGAAATATCCGTCTTCATAAAATTATTTTCGATAAATTGTGAGTTCAAGTAAAATATTTTAAATTAAATTAAAAAAAAATACCAAATTATTTATAAATTTAAATAATTTACTAAATTAAATTTTTAAAAATTGACATAACATTGAAATGTGGTGTGACTAGTTGGTCCCTCGATTTGAAGTTTTATGGGAATTTCATGTTATAATTGGATGCACCAAATTGTGCAATCACTTTTAAACTCATAATAATCCAATCGATGCCTTTTTCTACTATGCATATTGCCTCTTATCCATGCAAGTAGGGACACATCTAAATTATCGAAAACTCAATAATTTTTATGTGAATTTAACATTGATAATTATATTAAAAAATCTATTTAACATGTACACAAGTTATCTTAAGGAAAGTAGTAATAGTGAAAAAACTTGTTTAAGACTTTAAGTTAAGTTGATCTTCATAATAATAATACATTAATTTAAAATTGAATTCGTTTCTCCATGCAAGCCTGCTTTCATTATCTTTTTTTGTTATATACTTGGACGTATTTAGTATTTGTATTGATATTGATTGAATTTTGATTCACGCCGAAAAATTTCATTTCTTATAAAATTATTTTCACACTCAAGATACAAATCCGACATAACTCCACCATAACTCTTATTGTTATACTTGTTTCAATACTCTTCGAATTACCTCAAGTTTACTGAAATCATTCGGTTCTCCCCGTCGTTATTTTATAATTTTATATTTTACCATCATCTATTTTTTAGAAGAAAAAAAATAAGAATAAATAGTCCCTCCTTATCCTACTATATATTCCCCTACATATTCTATTATACTGTAAAATAAAAAGACGAAAGGAAAGGCGATAATTAAATTCTCAGAAATATTTCCTTATTAATAGATTGAACTATTAATATTTTTCTTCATCGTCTTTTCTCAATTTTAAAAAAATTATGTTAATATATATCCTCTACGTTCGTTTTTTTTTTAAAAAAGAAATTATTGCAAATGTGAAAAATAAAATAAAATAAACTTTGTGTTAAAATTAGTCAAAAATAGAGTAGGTGTTGAGAAAAATAATTAAAGAGTGCAGAGCCAAGGAACCCGTGAGGCCTTAAATTGTTACCACATTTTCAATTATAGACTTTAAATTTTAATGGGCCCAATAAAAAGATGGGCCCATTTGTATCCAGCAATGCTCATCCTTTTTCATTGTCAATCATCTGCTTCTTCAACCTCCACACTTGACGTTCCGTTCATTTTTACTTATTTATTTTAAATTGAAGGCTCAAAATAATCTCTCTTCTTTACGTTAAGGCTTAAAGTGATTCTTGAATTTTCACATGAATCACTAATAGTCTCTCGTGTTTGTAATATTGGTGCACTTTTGGTCCTATCCTAAAAATTTTGTCTATTTTTAATATTAATTTTGTCCAAAATTTTATATAAGGAATGTCCAATCGTCTTTTTATGTATTCAATAGAAATAATAACTCTATCTGAGAGAAGGTGATAAAAAAGACACCTTGTTCTGTTCACTAGAAATATTACTGTAGCTAAACTAAGAACATATTAACATATGACTTTGCAGGAAAAGAAAAAATTAAACTATTTGCGCGTGAAAATATCGTGATGAACCTCTCGACTTTACCTGCAATATGATTTCTACTAAACAAAATAAAGTGTTTTTCTTCTCACATTCTTTGATACTGAATTGTTATTTCTACTAAATATATAAAATGACGATTGGACATTCCATACATATAGGTTATCGATAAATCAATGCAAAAAAATAGGTAAAATTTTAAAGGAGGATAAAAAATGCACCAATACTGCAAACACGAGGGACTATTAGTTCTCCATGTAAAAAACTCAAGGATCACTTTGAGTCTTAACCCAAAGAAAAGGAACTATTTTGATCCTTTCCTCTATATGTTTCGTACAAATATAATGATTGATATAAACATGTTACTATGATAAATTAATTAATTGATGTATACTTTTAGGTTCTGAAAATGATCCGTGAAATAAATAATTAATGTTGAGTGTAATTATCTTCTTTTGATATATTAGAATTGACAAGTAAAACTAAAAAAAATATATTTAAATACAAAATAAATACAAGTGAACGATGAAAATAGCATTTTATTGCTAATTTTGTCATTTGCTTCGCGACGAATTTAATATTATAGAGATTAGTATTGTAAAAATTACATCGAGGTAGAGATTTATATAACATGCCTTCTTTATACGATAACATTTCATCGTAATGGTCAAATTCTCTTTGATATTAATTTTAATCTTATGTTATATCATTATATGTTTTCTATAAGTGATATTTAACTATGATACGTATATATATTTATTAATTTTTTCATTGCGACTGATGTTATTAGATTTATATAATAAACGGTTGGATACACCCCATTATTAGAGAGAGATTATTGACAAAGACAAAATAGGCTTCCTTTTCATTTTCATATTGGGATGCAACATACATATATATATATATATATATATGAATTAATAATAATAATCAGTGTACCAAAAATTATCGGGCATAAATGTAAGGCGTAGATTCATACGGTGTAAGTTTTAGAATTCGGGCGTAAACTCCAAACATAAAAACGCAAGTCCTAAGCATAAAAATGTAAGCTCTGATATTTTTTTTAATTATTATTTTGAAACTTATTTTATTTTAAATCATATTTTTTGGTGTGATGATATTTCTCAAATAGTAACTGTAGTACTTTTTACTTTCATTATTGGTGATAAATACCTTTCTCAAAACAAAATTATAATATTTTTAAAAATATATATTA